TCGTGCTGAAGTTCCTGGATGAGGACCTCCTTCCTGTTCAGCTCCTCCTGGGCCGACTGCAGAAGCCCCGAGTGCTTTTTTGAGGCCTCGGTGAGCATGTTCAGCTGCTCTGTAGCATGAGCCAGGTCCTCACAGAGCATATCCCTCTGTTAGGGGACCATCCCCACAAAAGAAGAATTTCTTAATTGTGGGGCTCCAATAAGGATTTGCACACCATTACTATGCAATTTCTAAAAGGTTAACTTTAAACGAGAACTATTTTTTTGCTTGTGTGGTAATCCATTTCAGGACAGGAACGGGCCTAGATAAATATTACTGGAAGGTGATATGGGCAGCCAACTGAGGTTTAGCTGCACCAACTCCCCTTCCCTTCACCTGGCCTCTCCATGCTGACCTGTCTGTCCTGGGGAGCACTCGAGGCACAGGTCTCTCATCTACCTGTCATCTCAACAATGGACGCTAGTCCTTTACACACTGGAAGGTAAGTGACTGTAAGGATGAGGACCCCTCAGCCAGCTGAGGAGGGGCTGGGCAGTCACCAGGCTGTGACACTGTCACAGGGCATCCAAGCTTCAGGGCAGTAACTTGATGGCAAGTGGCAGAGAGGATTCTAAGTCCCGCAGGTTGCAAATGTAACTCCTCCACACACAGGGTATGTAATCCCTCCGAAATGAGAGCAGAATCTGCTGGCCCTGACCTTCAAAATGTGTGTGTACATATGCATGTATATAACAATATACATATAACACATACAATATTACATATACACCATAGAGACAATATGTGGGTGTGGGTGTGTGCATACAGAAATATACAACATATATGCTTGATATAGCCCTTATACGCTGTTGTTTTTGTAACTAATTTATTACGAAACTCATTATTAGAATAGATATTCAGGCAATACTTTGTGGAGTTTCATGTAGACACCCATATCACCTTCGAATAACTGTCATTTTCTCTCAGATTTTAATAATGTTGTAGCTCACCTTCTGTTCCCATTTCATTGCATTGGCTGGAAACTCATGTTGTTAAAAAACAATGATATACATAAACAATTAGAATGACAATTCACATAGCACAGCCATAAATCTAGACTTTAGCTCTAAAGATGGGAGATAACTAGAATGGGAATGTGAACTGGCTGTTTGTGGGGTCAATTCCACTCAAATCTAAGATACTTCAATATGCGTAGTCACAATTTTTTTTGAGAAAGA